CTGACTTTCATGATTGAAGAAACTGAAAATTGCCGAATTCACTAGAGTCGTTATGGTAGGAAAACTCTTTCATGCGGTTAAATTTTTGCGTGACTTTCATTTACATGCATGCATGTGCAACAACTCTTAACTCATGTCAACCAAATGTAAGGAAGAGTCGCTGAGATTTTATATAACAAGGTGCAAATTGGGTGGTGAAACATACAATAACATGCTTAGTCGAAAGAAAATGCCTCGTGATTATTTTAACAGAACAGTTGTAATTCCTATCGAAAGAGCTAGACGGCCGTTCACAGCTTCGAGATCAATTAGCTTCGTTTTCAGCGATCGTAGGAAAGAAAGACAGACATCCTATAGTTTGAGACTAAAGATAGAAAAGCTCATGGTTCAAGTTAAAACATCAACATGACTATTCTTACCTCAGCCGATTTCGACGGAAAATGATGCTCTCTCTCGAACATTTAGCCATGAAGTTCACTCTCACACCCATCCAATCTGCTGCATGCTTTCACTCTTTTCCTCTTCTCCTCGATTTTGCCTATTTTGCTGCTGGTAGCGCGATTACTAAGCTTCAGAATACCCTTCGGGTAAATTAAGGTCTGGGTCAGTGGTTAGCTGGGACCCCCAGCGTGGTTTTTAGCAACCTCACGACACGCGCGTGAAGTTTGTAATTTGAGGAAGATAATAAAGAAACCAACACGTACTTCGCGTGTGCGAAGCGATGAATCTATCTCCGTTATTGCTTTCTTCCTTCCCTATAATTTAAAAACCTCATATTCTAAGGGTCGAAAGCCCTGAAAAATGGGCTTTGTAAAGCTCAGTCAAAATTTGTAAGCTTAAATACTTCGAGGAAACAAGTTTAACGAAACATCTTTTAAGTCTGCTTTTAAGTCGAGGTAAGATTACAATGTTTGTCGCACAGCTTTATTAAATACGTAACGATGAAAATGTTTGCCGTCCGGATTGCGGACGGTCATAGAGTTCGTCCGGGTCATGTCAAGCCCGGAGAGATTTTAACAATTATTTTTCGAGGCCTGCGTGAAAATTATGTGTTGTCGGTCATTAGAAAGTCATGGGAAATAATAACTAAGATTTGTACATGCATCGGCACACAGGTCCAAGGTAAGACAAATTTTAAACCTAATCTGTGCAGTTTGAACTGCTTGCATCTTGTCTGAATGTTGCCTTCTGCATTGATGATCATTTTTTCATACTAGGAACAACAAAGTATTTTTATTAATAGAAAATTTTAACAATAAAATAGCATAATTTTATTGGTATAGAAAATGTGTTGCATTTACTTCACTGGATCTATCACTGTTTATATTTACACAATATCTTAAAGGGAGTAAGTGAAAGAATCATTTTATTTTTTTGAAAACTGTTAAAAGACATTTCAAGTAGGCATGGAACATGGACTCAGAAGGTAATCCCTGTTTTCACTGACCATTAACAATAATTAAATATTACACAACCTCAATTCCTGGGTTGTGATCCTTTTGTTTGGCACCAAAAATCAAGGGCTCTGGTCAAAACTGTTATGTTGCAGCTTATACAGAAACTGGTTTCCCATCATGTTTTTTGTGTTTTGTTTGTTTAACCAGTCAAGCAGATGTAAAAAAGAAATTGATTTCTTCCAGATCCTATATGTTCATAGTGCTGAGAAAAAAGATAACAGCTCTGGGATCAAAATATGTTAAAGTTAACAGCTCTGGGATCAAAATATGTTAAAGTGAGCTCTGGGATCAATTATTTCAATATTTGGTTCAACTTGTGTTACCTCTCTAGGAACTATGAGCTCACCAACTGTAAATTCTCCTTCCTGAATTTGAAGTTTCAGTTTCTCTTTTAAAGCATCATTTGTTTCTGGTGTGGGGATGGAAATTTCACCACCAAGTCCTTTTAATTTCTTTCTTCTGGGCTGTCGCTCAACTTCAGTATTACATTTAAATCTGTGTAGGTCAACACCTTGGGAAAGAAGCCATTCCTGAGCTATCTGGCCTCCATTTTTTGCAATTTCTCCCTTTTGGTTTGTTATTTTGTACCTTCTGGCAATCTCTGACCAATTAACCTTCACACCATCTGCGTACCCTTCTACTTCAGATTTTAGACCATTCTTGTCCCATGTCATAGCATCAAAATTGCCAGCATGACGTTTTCTTTTGACAGTTGAATCTTCTTCATGTTCTGAACTGATCTCCTTTCTTTTTATTGCAGCTTCTCTAGTCTCAAAGGAAGTATCAAGCCGATCCCATTGTCTAGCAGCATATGATTGCCGCTCATTGTACTGTTTGTAACACTCTTGCATTGAGCGCGCTTTAAATTTTGCCATTCCTTCCCCATTTTCCCGATAAAGCGTCTCGGTTGTTTTCCTTACGATTGTTAAAGCTGCTACTCGAGATAAGCCAAAACTAGTCAGGCAAATAAGGGTAGCAACCATGCTACTGTACTATTAATTTTACTTTCGAGCGAAAACTGTTTGCGAACCAATTTGTCAGTACGATAACTTAGTGCAAGGTTGGCGCTATTTTTCTTGAGCGGTATATTATATGCACACATAAATTATGAAAAGATCATGTTTCAACACTTTTTTATTTTAAAAAGATAGCCTTTTACAGCAGTCTAATTCATCCGTGCCTTGTCGTTTCAGAAGACTATAAACAGGCACAAATGCTCTCAGTTCCTCACGTTCGGTGCGATAAATTAATCTGAAAATCTGGAAAGCTACATATTATTCATAACACACCGGTTTTTTTGGAAAAAAATTAATTTTCGACCATTGATTACAAGATTTGAAGCAATTCGCTTCAGGAAGGAGGATAGCCTCCTTGTCCACCATCTTGCATAGCCTCCCCATTTCCATAGTAACAGTAGCATCCGCTGTCCAGGTGAACCGTACATTCGGGAACAGAATGGCGGCTAAAATCTTGCAGTGACTGACTTCGCGAAACCTCGTTGCAGGAGCATTTTAAATGAACCTTATACGCGTGTTTACCGATAAATACTTTCATCGAATCACATTAAACGTGTTATGTACTGGATAAGCAGCATTTGCGGGGGCAAAAGAATTCTTGTAGCTCGACATTTGTCAATACCGATTAAAAATAACCTTAACTTTCCATAGTCGTTTAAGGAGAAAGAAGAGACATCCTTGCCAGTAAATTTTCGATTCTTCGTGTTATGTTTTATCTGCAGGGCGAATATAGTACCTTAAGGTAAATAAAAAGTACTCCTGCAAGACAAGCAAAATATATTAGCGGGAAAATGTTTGTTAATGTGTCACGTGATATGTCTCTGCCGACAGCTGGTGTGGGGAAAAATAGGAAAACATATTTCGCAACGATCTGACGCGCAAAAACTCACCTATCCGAGCTGTTATTTTTTAAATATTTTTTTAATTATTTTTGCCTATTTTTGATAATCACCCAGGCCTTAATTCACCTGAGCCGGCCACTTTGATCCGCCTCACTTACATGTGTCAGGAGGCTTTGAAGATTGAGGCATAACACAATAGACGCTATTCTCATTCAATGACATGTAAATTGAGTGGCCGGGTATTCTGAAGTTGCTCCCTACTACACGCAACTGAGACAGTCTACCGTTAAGGTGCCAGAGTGTCTCTGGGAGAAGTTTTGGCGGACTTTAGCCGCTATGTGTGCAAAAAAATGGACTTCTTGGGTCTGATTCAGCAGTGGCCTTGTCCTTCAGAAATGTTTTTGACTCCTCGTTTTAACAATAGGACTGGATTCTTGGCTAATGACCCTTTGTCTTCTGCTGTTGTTGAAAACTCAAGGAGAATGGAAGTCAGCCAGCGCGACAAATCTTTCACGATTCCGTAAATATTTTAATTTATCGCCTGAATGAGCACCGACTTATATTTTTGGCTTGGAATGCTTACTTGGAATCACAGCCGCCTAAGGGCCTGTTTACATGGAGGTGGGGGACCTCAGGTAGGTGAGGTAACCCGCTCAGCCGTGGTCGAAAAATTAAACGCGTTCACATGCAATCTTACAACCCCGGGGTGCTGGGGTGAAGTTTCTTGAGGTTATTGTTGCGCTTGCAATTAAAAAGTTTGAGCAGAGGCGTCCCAAGCTCACATCTCGAAAAAGACGGAAGATTAATTCTCGAACACATATGTATTTATTCATGAAAGCGTCACGCGTTGTGTCACGCGGTGTTTGGTTTGGCGAGGAACCGTTGACTTCATACGTTATACGGAATAGTTTGGGAAACCAAATATGGTCGATTTACAACGCGAAATATTCCGAAATGTGAACATTTTACACTCCTTGTGTGTCCGTTGCGGTTTGTGGCGATTTCTGCCATGAGACGGCTACACATACATGTTTCGCTTTTGAGCTTTTTGCTATGCACGCGACCCCGGCTTAGGCGGGTTACCCCACCTTGACACGTTTACATGGCAAATTGTCACCCCGGCTGACAGGGTTACCCTACCTGGCAGACCGGGCAACCCGCCTACCTCACCTACCTGGGGTCCCCCACCTCCGTGTAAACAGGCCCTTACGCAAAGCGTCGTCAAAGTTCAAAATTTCCGCGCTTAACGCTAACCAGAAGCTTGAAATTAGAAAAATCTTTGTCTAGAAGGAAGATGTTTTTGTTAACTCGCTTACAGGATCCGGGAAATCGTTGATATACCGGTTCACGGTCGTTTCGATACAAGACGTTCCGGTACAAATCGAAGTTGATTCGTTGCACATGTAAAGTCGATTCGATACAAACTCACGTTACTTTAAGTCGTTCCGAGACAGAATACCATACTAGAGCGAACACAAACCTCCGTTGTAAATAAAACAAACACACACCTCTGCAAACCTCCACATGTACCCAAACCTCCAACACAATGAGAACACGCAAACGAGACTAAGTTTTGGTTAAGTTTATTTATCGAGAACAGAGATTTATATAAATACATTTGAGACTTTTTCTATAACCACAGCGCATATTATACCTACGATCAAGAAACACAAATACTATCAATAATGTCGTGTAAGTCGGTGATGCAACGGACCCGGGAGGAAACAGGAGTTATTCTGGCGCGTGAGTAGGCGGGTTTGTAAATTATCGTATCAATTGACGCGTAAACTAATTGTTTTTAAAAAAAACTTACATATTTTACCCTATTGTTCTGATGACAGCGAATAAACCAATCCAAACGCTTTAAACTAACTGATATCAGTGTATAAAACACACTGGAACCCTTTTTTCAGGAAGATTTGGGACTTCAGGCGGATTACAACAACGACCAGGGATCGTACGCGTTCATCAGAAAGGTCATGGCCCTGCCGTTCCCTCCAGCAGAGGAGATTCCTGCAATGTATGCACGACTTCAGAAGATGACATCGACTCAGAAACTCCAGCAGTTAATGCAGTACGTCGGCAAGAACAGAATCACAGGCAACACATGGCCGTCCTCTTGGAGCGTGTTCATGAAATCCGTCTGAACCAACAACGACATAGAGGGCTGGCATCTTGGGCTGAATCACCGCGCGTCTGGGAAGTCCCAGCTTCCTCTGTACCTCCTGATCCGCCTTCTTCACCACGAGGCCCTTCGGACATCCCTTCAGATCAGGCTTGTGTCCGAGGAGAAGTTACGGCGCATTCAGAAAAAAGGTTCCGAGACCTCCAAACCAAGATCTTCAACCTCTGGGATGAGTTCAACTCTGGTGCCCGTTGTGCAAGAAAACTACTAAAGGCGTTTTTCTACCTCAACGGCCCAGTACCTTCATAAAAAGGCTTTTTTAGGCGCCGCCGCGCCCTGCTTTCGTCACTTTGGACGATTTCAGGTCGCTAAAAACGGCTCTTTTAGGAGCCACCACATGTGCGAAAGTCATGATCAATGTAAACGTACTTTAGTAATTTAAATAAATATTCAATAAAGTTTGTTCTTTTAGGCCACGGGGAAACTGAATAATACAACTCGTTCGATCGAGTCGCGCGAAAACTGGGTATTACAACTACGTCGATCGATCGAGTCGCTCAGTTAGTCGAGTCGAATTTTAGCTTGAATAGAAAACAACAAATCACCACACATATCAAAGACGGAAACTAACACACTTTTACAGAACTTTTCTCGAGTTTACTTCTGTATCGAAACGACTTCAGTTTGCATCGAATCGACTTTACATTTTTAACGAATCGACTTCGATTTGTGTCGAAACGGTTTGTATCGCGAAACGACTTTGTATCGAAACGACCGGACACCAATATACCAGGCTCTTCTGCTAGTGTTTGACCACGTTTCCGATGAAAGCGGTCATACTGTTATTGTTGTGTCTCTGTTGGCTAGTCTGATAGAAGATCAAGTGAAGTATTTGAGAAGTCTTGGTCTGTCTGTCGTAAATATTTCTTCAAACGTTGAAGTTGATCGTGCAAAGATAGAGAAAGGAGAATATTCAATTGTCCATGGCTCACCTGAAGCATGGCTTATGAACCAGCGCTGGCTATGTATGTTGAGTATTGATGTCTACTCGAAGAAACTTTGTGTTGTGGCTGTCGATGAACCTCATGTTTTACGGCACTGGTAAGTCCGAGTTTTATCGCGATTTCCATCATTGACGTTTCAAACTTTCAAAGAAACAATTTCACTTATATTTTAATAAAAATGTGAGTAAAATTGGGAAACAAACACATACACTAAACAATAATATAAAATAATTATCCATTCTTCTTTGCTAAAATTATCTTAGAAACTTTTCCTGTAAAACTCTTAAAAAATGATTTATTTCAAACGAATTCAATCTTAATTTAAAAGTTTTCATTAGTATTGTTTTGTTTTAAAAGTAATTTATGTTTTCTTTCCTCACTCACAAGCCACTACCAGTTCACATACATGGAGACATTGCAGGGGACATCTGAGGACAATAAAATGGCAGCATTGCGTGAGTGTTATGGCCGACTTCATGAGCTGTGATCGTTAGCACCAAATGCCAACATGATTGCTTTGACTGCAAAGGCGAATAACTTGATAAAAAGAAACAATTTTAAACATCCTTCTTATGGAGAAACCATTTGAAGTCGAAGAAGGCCCAAACAAGCCAAGTGTAACTTACATTTTGCAGTGTATGCAAAAAGATACTGACTATGAGTTCTATTTTGAGTGGCTGGTTGAAGAGTTAAAATTGGAAGGTAAGTTATCCAAAAGAACCATTGTTTATTGCCAGACTATCAAGCTATGCAGTATTTTATATGGAATGATCAAAGCAACCTTAGGTAGGATATTTATAGTGGAACTGATGATGATCCAGGAAATGCACTTGTGGAAATGCTCCACTCCTGCACACCATCTGCAAATAAAGAGAAAATTCTTCTCTCCTTCCAGTCAATAAATGGAACTATTCAATTGTTGATTGCCTCGATTGCCTTCGGAATGGGGGAAGATTGTAAGGGAGTGCATAGAGTCATTCACTATGGACCTGCCAAAAATGTGGAATCTTAAATTCAGGAAACTGGGAGACCAGGCAGGGATGGTACTCAAAGTTGTGTTTGTACCATGAAATCCTTCTAGCCCATGTTGATGGCTATATGAAACGATATGTAAAAAAAATCTGCTCAAGCACTTTAACTGCACTACTTGGCAGCACGAAGTTCTGCATCTGTGCTGTGATAAATGTGCTGCAGATTGTGAATGCGGTTTGCCTGATTGTGGAGCTTTATCATTTTATCCTTGTTCTCAATAGAAAGTAAACAATGGTGCATCAATTAGAAAAAGGCAAGTGGATGCAGAGCAGAGGAAAACTGTTGAGGATCTCCTGGTTCAATACTACAAGACCATTCTTATCAAACTGTTGAACACAACAGCTCATGGTGATGTGAGGACAAATTTACAATTTATGCTTGGATTCTCCGAGCACCAAATCACCCAAGTTTTGGATAATCTGGATGCAATTTTCAGTTTATCAGATGTTTATAGATTTGTAGAGATATGGGATATGTGTCATGCACAGGAGATTCTGGAAGTTATAAGCAAAGGTTTTAATGATGTGACTACAGGAATGCAGTCATCTGAGCCTTCTCCTTTAGAGGAGAATGGCTATGATTTTGACGGGGTTTTTTAGAGGGGTTTTTTGATGAGTGGAATGAGTGGAATGAATTTCTCTAAGACGATTACTTATTTGAGATGATTGTAGATAATTTGTCTCTTTCCCAAATAGACAATTCTTTATTGGAGCAAGAACCTGTTTGTAATTCCCAATTAATAGAACTTCCTTCAGCTGAACTAGCAACTGTTGAGGCTATCAATTTGGATGATGTAGTATAAACAAACTGTGACTGAACATTTTGTACCATGGAATACTTGTAGCCCATGTTGATGTAAAGAATTCTCAGGTTAATTAAGGCCTGGTTCACCCTGTCTTTAACCCATATTTTCACAAAATTGAGAATAAGTTAGCTATTTTGCGAGGGATTTTTCTCATACTTGGCAGAAATGTGTATCACTACCATCTCTCTCGGACTGAATTGTGGCAGCATAATATGATACTCTCAACAGCCAAAAACAGTTAATTTAGGCACCAAATTTGTCAGTTGCTTTCTTGAGCAAATTCCCACCACTAAACACAAGGCAAATCAAAATGCAGTTATCGCTATGAATATTTGAGACGTTTTTCATTGTTTTCCCACTTGGAATGGCTGCCAAAAAAAAGAGAGATGTGCTAGGCAGATTAAATCAAGTTTTGTCTCTGCGAAGCTGCTTCCTCTATCATGGTTTTCACCCGAAAACGTATTAGCCTTTACCTGGATCCAACCGCTATCAACGAAAGTAATCCCACAGGTTCCTATTTATTTGGAAAAAAGACAAATTAAAACTGTTTAAGAGGTGGGAATTTTGAAAACTCGCAGTCACGTAATTCAACTTAGTGTCCGCCATTTTGACACACGAGTCACGCGAGTGTTCAGAAGCAATAATTTAACGGCTATTACACTACCAAATACTAATTGGAGCAATCTCAGAAGCAATACAGGCAAACTTTGTATACTTTTGATGATATTTATTTCTTTTTCTCGTTTTCTGAGGTCGATTGCATCTCTGTAAATCCAGGGTTAGATCGCCTTTGACAGTTCTAATAAAACAAAATTGCAAATTTGGGCGGTAAGAATAAAGAACGTTTGTAATTTTATCCCAAGTAGTATCATATAACGAGACTGAATTACAATTTTGGCGCAAAACTTGAAAGTTATCGCACTGATTCCTTGAAACTCTTCAAGGTTTTGTTCCCTAACAACAGTACTACTTGATAACGAGCTAAGTGTATTCGTGTGAAACAAAAATGTCTGTCATTTTTAATTGTGGATTTGCAAGAGTTGCTGTAAAGGAGAGCTTTCATAAGGTTGGAAGTGCTTTGGTTGAAACTAACCCTAGTGAAAAGTGGAAGAACTATCTTGCAGCGTTCGAGGGTGACAGTCAGGAAGTCTTTGCGGTCGAACGTTCCACCTACGTCAAGAAATCCAAAGCAATTTACAGCTCTTTCCAAAGGATGAACTCAAAAGCCAGGGCCCAGTACCAAGACACGTTTTCAATGGTAAACTGGAAAGCTCTTAATACAGCGCAGAAGAAACAGCACACATTGTCAAATTGTGGAGGTTGTCAAGTGCACTATTATGCTATCCATAATTTTTTCCCTAGTGGGGAAATTACGAATTGTGAATGAATTTTAGAAGGACATTTTTAATAATGCACAGATAAGGTGCTCTAGGGTCCATCAGGTACAAATTACTTCATAGGTCATACTCATGTCTATAATTTTACATCGCTGCTAGATAACATACATGTACTGATTTATTTCCCAATTCCTGCCAATTATTGATCTATGAAATTGAATTTAGGCAAGCAACTGGCAGATCAAACTTAAAATTATAAACCAGAGTTTTGACCAGTTAGGCCACCATAGCCTTCTAACAGGAATATTGACTTGGAAGAGCAACAAAAAAAGCAAGAAATACAATTTTAGAATTTTCCTTTCTGACTTTGTATCAAGGGCAACCTATCCTGCTCTTAAGATGGCACATCTTTTATGAGTAGGGCTGAGAAGGTGACACATCTTATACCAGTTTGTGTTTGCTCCTGTCACAAAAAAAAACAGTGCCCCACTTGGGGCAACAGTAAGCACTGGTAATTAATCATGTCTTATCAACAAAGAGAGAAGGCTATGGTCAGAATCTTATGCATGTATCATAAAAGATACTCCACTGGTGTAGTGGGTAGAATATTTACATTCAAATAGACACATATATCAATTACAAGTCCATCATTGACAATGATTGTTGCAATTATTACCGGTCAAAACTTAAAAACCAAACTGTTGACTATAATTAAAACTGATATAACATGATTTAAAAACCAAAAAAATGCCTCATAAATAACACCATTAACATGCTTGTACAAAGGACCTCTTCAAGAAAACAAATAGGGATAACAGTAAATAAAACTGGTTTTAATCAAGTAGATTCCCTTTGGAATCTGCAAGGGCTGGCTGGTTTTCTGTGTGAGTAATTAAAATTATTATTACTATATATTTATAGCAATTCAGTAAGGGACCTCGGAATAAACTAACACACATTAGTACAGCTTTTTTCCTCTTAGTTTTCAAGGGACAATTTATGACAAGACAATCTGCATCTTACATGTCAGCAATTAAACTTACCTAACAACTGCTTTGGGGGATTACGTTTGTCAGTAAATTCATCTGCTTCTTGGAGAAATTGTTTCCAAAGCATTCAAAAGCCTTAATTTTGATAAACACCATAAGTTTACACATCATGATGTGATAGAGGATTTATCAAGCTAAATTTAATTTCAAAATTGAATGGTATATCCACAATGAAACTTTTTTCTATGCATTTGTTACAAAACATAGTACTTTTTTCTATGCAAAAGTTACAAACATTGTAAAACGCTATTGAGCTCTAGAGATGAGCGCTATATTATAAATTCATGTTACATTGTATTTGCAGTGAAATCAATGAACATGTTGAGAGCGGTGTTTAGAAGTCTTCGTAGGTTCTCTTTGGCTTTAAGATAGCGATATCAAGCTATTTTTTGAGGAAATGAAGATAGCAAAGAAAATGTTATTACCTTCTTTTGATGTCTTCCGCTAGATTGTCGGATTCACCAGCGAAGATGGGAAAAACCAATGCAAAGCCGACACTTCAAAATAGCGGATGCCGTTCACGAACTACGCGATCTTGATTCCAAGTAACTATGGTTACTCGCGCAGTCCACGCGAATTCCGCAAACCTTGCTGGGGGGGCACTGGAGGCGAAAATCATTTTTGACCCAGGCCTTAACAGCATGATCTCGACACCAAAATAACGATTATCGTTATTTCTAAATTGGCCCTGAAATAACGAATATCATAATTTCAGTGCATGTCTGAGACCTTCGGGCTCGAAACTTGGGAACTAGTATTCAGGGAAAGATAAAATGGCGGCTTACGGCGGCGAAGGAAATCCCAGTAGTTTAATATTTTAGCGTGAAAAGGCTTGGGTGTTGTGATCTGGTTCTCAAGTAAAAAAAAAATCACGGTCTGCAATGGCCCTACCACCTTTTGAACAACAAGAAAACATTGAAACGGTGGTAAAAAGCAGCAAGTTTCGAAGTCTAAACGAAAGATGGGTAAGCTGAGTTTCAGTCAAATATCATGACATTTGGGATGTAATTTCGATACCGAATAAATAGTTCTACATGGTTATACACGCATAGGATTCTGTTGTGTTCACGTGAAGGCCATTTCAGCCATTCCTGCCACTTGTAAGTGGTAGGAAATAAAAGATATGCATACTTGTTTCGTATTGAAGCCCTGTGAAATCACAAATTTGATTTATTTCTTCTTTGTTTTAGGTGGTCATTATCCATTACTTTTGGAAGTCGATGCTGATGAGAAAGAAAAAATGTTTATGATTATTTCTTCTCTCGAACGTTTTACTATTTAGGTACCAAATAATCTTGATACTGAAGTTCATTGCATCCATTATGAAAAAATTACCCTTGATTGCTTTGTCAACTGGAATGTATAATGTAATATACCTTGTGATTTGTGGGATTTTCACATGTAAACTAGAAATACCAGTAGAGGGTAATGATGTACTTAATGCAAAGTGTTTTAGTACAAAGTCTGCTTTGCTGTAATCTACCTGAAGGTGCTTTTTATATGCTAGTAAGACTTGCACAGGCCAGTCAAAATGTTCTTTAGTAGTAGACAAGCTGGCTGTTGTAATTATAGGCAGCAGAGGCCAAACCTCTTCCTGAAAAGCAGTCTGAAAAGTGTGAAGTTAGCGGAAGGTACTTCATTGTAGGCAGCCAAATTGTAAGCTGCCAGCCCATATTGAGTGAGCAGTAAAACTCAAGATTGGCTATTTTAGCTAATTTTATTGAGAACCAAATTCCCAGCAACAGGCACATTTTTACTAGGCTATTTGTTATTTAACTACTTAGTAATATTCTTATTAAAATTTACTGCATTCCTCTCTAATAATTTGCTGCTGATTGTATGCTGTATATAGCTTATGATTTGTGTGATTTTCACAAGTAAATTAGAAATACCTGAAGATGGTAATGATGTACTAGATAATGTACTTGATGCAAAGCTATTTTGGTGCAAAGTGTGTGCCTTGTCTGTAGGTGATTTTGCATGCTAATAAGACTTGTAATTCAAATAATACACATCAGCTGGAGTGGGAATATTAAAAGAAAAATAATAATATTTAGCTATACCAAGTTCTGGTTTTATGTCCAAATTAAGCACTTAATTGAAGATCACTGCACTGCTCAGGTCCAGAAGGCTGAAAGAGTACTGTCTGCTGTTAGTTTGATTTTTGTCATTTCTATTGATTTATTTTATTTATCAATGTTTCTTTGAATTGTAATTCATTGATCTCTTTCAATAGTGCAGGTTCGCTCATGTAACCTAATCTCCCACATATGTATGTATGTATGTATGAGCTCAGTCGAAATGTTTTTGAGTGGAAGGCAAGCTGGTGATAGTAATAGGCAGCAGAGGCTGAACCTTGTCTTGAATGGAAGTGTGAAAAGTGTGAAGTTAGTGGCAGCTATATTTTGGCAGGCAGCCAAATTGTCGGCTGTGGCACATTTTGACTGGGCTG